TGATGCGTAAACGTGATATATTCTTCTCCATCAGGGTCCAGTGTGTGCCCAGCCGTGTCCATTTGGATCTTTTGGCATTAATTGCTCCCAGGAGTGCACGTGTCGTAACGGAGGGCTATGTGACCACATCAGCGGTCAGTGCCAGTGCACAGCTGGCTACATTGGAGAAAGGTACAGCCTAAAATGATGGTTATAAGATGAAAGTTTACTGTACTCCACGGGGAAATTGGGTGGTTGCACCTAAAAAACATGAGCAACAATGATGAGCAGTAAACAGTAAATACAGTGGCCAGATACAAATACTACAGTGTGGCAACACAAATTTTAACAGTTACCTTTGACTGAGTTTTTTTTAGGTTTCTTTGTGTGTGTGTGAGTCATACACAGTATAAACCATTATAAATGAAGCATTCAGAACCAAAAAGTGTTTTAATTTATTAATCTATGACCATCTTCCTGTCTTTAATTGTTAGAAGTATTTCTAGAGAAATTAGATGAACTGATGCTAATGTTGGACTTGTTCTGTTGCTAGAGGTTAAGAGTTTAAGGGGGATAGCATGAAAGTATTTAATATTTTCAATAAGCAATCAAATGCTTTTACTTTAACAAAGTGAGAGTATTCAATTCCTTTACTGTAACTATTCAAAGACTTTTATTTGGAAAATTTGACTCAGACATGCTTAACAGAATAACTTCCTGTATCAAAATAAGCTTTTATTCTGAAATGTTAACAAATTGTAAAGGCTAATGGGCTTCCATTAAAAACTGAGGGCGTTTTTATTAACTTTAAAGCTTTCTAGCGGTAAACTAGCAGAGAAAATTCATAACTACAACGTTTTTCAAACAATGGCATGCTGCCATGTTCAACATAATGTGTTCTTACTACTTGTGACATACAGAGCTCTCCATAGAACACACTATATATGACAAAGGATGTTCCAAATAGGCGTCATATACTCAAACATATGTATAGACAGTTATTAGAAGAACTACATGCCTGCTATATGGTCTTGTATGCCTGTTGACAGGCTCTGGGAAAGGATATGTGAACACCTATCAGGTGAGAGCGATCGATTGTTGCTAGCTGTAGCTCGTCTTAGACTCAGTTTGTCTTGTTCCATTTTTGTGATTGGCTTTGACGCAGCGTGCAGGTGAGCCCCAAGACTTGGGTATGTCCTGGATTTGCTGCTGGCATGGGAGGGAAGTGGGGGGGGTGCACTTCAAAAGGGGTTGATATGTGTGCGTGGGTGTCTTTGTGTCATTGGTGGGTGGGTCAGTCAGTGGGTTGGGTGTGTGCGTGTCCATTTGTCCAATGTGTCCATTTCAGGCTTTGTCTCTTCAATGCCTGCAATGGACACTCATGCAGACGTTGCAGTGAGCTGCAGTACCAGGAGAGAGAGATTTCATTTCAAGCCAACAGAAAAGAAAAAACAAAACAAAACACAGGAGTGCATTTTAAAGTGAGCCAACTTAATGGTTTGTGACGTAGAAGGACCGTGGGATGTACCTCGTACCTTATTTGGTCACTTCTCGGCTTTATATATACGATCTCCTCCTGCTGGTACTGCATCATCTGACTGGTGTGTCTATTACGCGCTTTACTGTGATATCGGGTTGGTGTTTGTGTTTGTGAGTGTGTGCATTGCTGGGCCTGAGGCTGGGGCTTGCTGAACCTTGGCCCCCAATTTATAATAATTTATAGAGCTCATCTTGGAAAAAATGTATTTGGAATGAAATTCCATTCAGCTTTTCAAGGAGATTTTAGGACATTCTGATAATAACGGATTACCGTAGTTCAGCCTAGAAGTAATAAATGCAGGAACTTGTTTTTCAGCATCACTCAAAGACAGGCATTTTATAATTTTAGAGATTGGCGGGCAATTTTGTTAATCATTGCTCAACCTACGTCTGCAGGAAAGCTTTTGAAAAGGAAACAAACTGGCAGGACAGCTGGGGTATTAAAGATAAGACCAATTCAGTTCTGTTTTATTTGTAAAGCACCAAAACACAACAACAGTTCCCTCACAGCACTTTAAATTGTAAGAGGAAGACCCTACAATAATACAGGGAAAACTGAGAAAACCCTAACAATCATTTGACCCTGCTATGAGCAGGTGACAGTGGAAGAGAAAACTCCTTTTTAGACAGGAGGAACCCTTTGACAGAACCAGGCTCAGGGTGGCTATCTGTTGGGGAAGGAAGAGAGGATAAAAGATGCGCCGTGGAAGAGAGCAAGAGATTAATAATAATTAATGAGGCCTTGGTAGCAGAGCCCCTGTGATGGATGAGGTTTGCCCTGAGTTCCTGAAAGCACTGGCTGTTGTAGGGCTGTCTTGGTTAAAACGTCCCTACAATGTTGCGTGGATATCAGCGGTGGTACCTTTGGATTGGCAGAACAGGGCTGTGGTTCCCATCTTTAAGAAGGGGGCCGGAGGACTTCTGATGAGGCATGCAGTGACATGGTCATGCCACATCGAACTCCTCCCATATTCTCCCTGTCTTTGACAGTTATAGCACAGCTAGTGTATCTTTTCACATCAAGGTTGGAGCAAGAAAAATCCAGCGAGTTCACCGCAAAAACACAA